CTCCCTCCTCCCCATCCCACAGAAACCCTGGTTCTACGACCTTCGGGAGGTGTGGAAGGGATACCCCATCCAGGTGAGCACCTGACCCTGTCCCAGCCGCCATCCCACAGCCCTTCCTGCCCCTGGAGCCGCCTGGGCCGTGAGAGATGGGGACTGGAGCCCCTGGGGGTCGGGAGGGTCTCTCCCTGATGTCCCCAGAGAAGGATCGAACCCCCAGGGTGGCACCAAGTGTCTCTCGCACCCGCCTGGGTTTGGCTGACGCACGGGGAAGGGGTTTACACGCTGTGGGGTGCAGAAGGGTCCCCAGGACGCCTGTGGGTCTGACTGGAGCCCACAGAAGGGGATGGACCCCCCCTGGGGCAGACGGAGGTTCCCCCTCAGCCCGTCTCTTGGCTTTCAGAGCATGCTGCCCTCCCAGTACTGGTACTACATGATTGAGCTCTCCTTCTACTGGTCCCTGCTCTTCAGCATCGCCTCCGACGTCAAGCGCAAGGTGGGCAGTGATGGTGGGGCTCTCTGGGGACTGGGGTGGCCGACACGGGGACATCTGGGCAGGGTGTTCTTCACCCTCGTGGTGGGCGATAGGGACGAGCGGGCTGGGAGGATCTGGAGCCACAGAGGGGATCTTGGAGACGAGGGGAATGATGGGACACGGGGGGGTTGGGGCCATGCTGCTGTAACCCCCCTGCTCCCCCTTTCCTGGGTGCAGGACTTCAAAGAGCAAATCATCCACCACGTCGCCACCATCATCCTCATCAGCTTCTCCTGGTTCGCCAACTACATCCGCGCAGGGACGCTCATCATGGCCCTGCACGACTCGTCGGATTATCTGCTGGAGGTACGTCCCCCTCCACGCCCCCACGGCTGCCTCCGTGTCCCACGTCCCCTCCCCGACTCACCCCAGCTCTGTCCCCACAGTCTGCCAAGATGTTCAACTACGCCGGCTGGAGAAACACCTGCAACAACATCTTCATCGTCTTCGCTGCCGTCTTCATCGTCACTCGCCTGGTCATCCTGCCCTTTTGGTGAGTGAACGGGTGGGGAAACTGAGGCACGAGGTGAGGAGACCCACTGGGGGTGGGATATCGGTCCCTGCCCGTAACGAGCTGTTTCTCCCGTCAGGATCATGCACTGCACGGTGGTTTATCCGCTGGAGCTCTACCCGGCCTTCTTCGGCTACTACTTCTTCAACTTCATGATGGTGGTGCTGCAGTCGCTGCACATCTTCTGGGCCTACCTCATCATCCGCATGGCCCAGAAGTTCATAACTGGAAAGGCAAGAGGGGGGCCCGGGAACGACTCGGGGCTCACAGCCCTGCGGGTGACGTGGCTGAGGGGCGAAGGGGCTTTATCAGGACCCAGCTGACGTGGCTCAGGGTGGATGGAGGGTCCGGGTCTGCCCCGGGAGCAAGGAGGTGAGGGGTTTGCAGGGGAGACCCCCAAGCCATGAAGCTGGACTGTGCTTGGTGTCCTGAGTCCTGGAGAACCCTTGGTGGGGAGGAAACTGATGGTTGCAGCAGGGAAAACTGAGGCACAACAGGAGAATGGGGTGTTGTTAACTGAGCCCCCCACTCCCCTCTCCCCCACAGGTGGTTGAAGATGAGAGGAGTGACCGTGAAGAGACAGACAACTCGGAGGAGGAGGAGGAGGCGGCGAAGAACGGGCCCCTCTCTAATGGCCACCCCGTCCTCAACAACAACCACCGCAAAACCGACTGAGCGC